TGAAAACAAAGGGGGAAAACATACCTGAGTACATTTGACATTACTGCCTCAAATACAAGAAGAATTTATCATTATTGCCTATGTTTTGTCTACATTTGTATTTATTATAACTTTTGCCAAAAACTGAGCTGCTACCGAATGCCAATGTTTTGGCCAATGTGAAATTTGAGATGATGCACTGAATTATTTTCTAAAGAAGCATAATTATAATCAAATCGAATCATTTCTAGGGTCAGAGATTTACACCTATGGCGCAGAAAGGGCGTTCTCTTGCTTTACCACAAAACCCATTAGCAGCAGCTGAAGTGTTCCTCAGCACTGGCTTTAAAGAGCACAACACATGTCGAGCTGTTGACAGGGTAGTGAGATTGGCAAAGACAGCAGCCATCTTGGCATCACTAGGGAGAAAATAGCAAGCACTGCTTTTCAGTTACTCTACCACTGCCACAGATCGAAAGAGAGACAACCTCCCACTGCTGTAGCTTTTCTGCTACACTAAAGCCCCTCTTACTTATTAAACAGCAGTGAATAAATCAACAGCGCCTTGTCTTCTGTAACAAGGTTGCCCCTTTGCCTGCGCTGGTGAGGGGATTTGGAGCATAAAGCTGTTAAAAAAAGCCTTTTATGAGTCTTGCTGATGGATTTCTCTTCAATACAAAGAGTGATACTGATGCTGAATAATGAAGCAGCAGATGGAGAAGGACCATTACTTTAACAGCACTGTAAATAAGCAGAGCTATCTCGAGATTCCGCACTGGGGTCAGTTCCGTCCATTTGTAGTGCTGGAGAACTCTGTGAACTGAAACAATGCGGATTTCTACAGTCCATCCTCGTATACGTCCATAGCCAGACTGCAGTGATCTGATCCGATACCGAGTGAAACCAGCCCCTGTGCTTTTCCACTTACAGGGCTATTAAATCTTAATAGGCAGAGTTTAGGCTGCTGGTGGGATAATAAACAGATGTTTAACCTGTGGTTGTGGCTTATTTAAAAGCTAAGGTCACTGTTTTGGGCCTGCACTATCCTATAAAGTGTCCAGACCTTCAGATAGGCTGTAAAACCAAATACACAGAGCTTATGAAAATCCACAGTGCCACTGAACTGAGTCTCTGACAGCTCGATGTCGTAACCCCCATTTCATTACTGTTTTTATCATGCCTTCTGTGACTTGCCCTTTCCGCCTCCCCTTGAGGAAATCCTCATTTCCACCTTCAACAGAAATTTCACTTTTATTATTTCTGCATAATTCAGTTTGAGATGTAAACAAAGTAATTCTGAGTGGTTTGATGTGAAATGCTTCATTGTACAGAACTTAATGATGCAGATTTTGGTCATAGGAACCAGGGGTTGCAAAGTGTTCTACACATAGTCAATTTTTTTACTATTCAAAACAGACAATAAACCTACACGTTTTTTAAGTTATACAGTACTGTGCAAAAGTCAGAGCCCCGCCCTTTATTTCATTAATTTACAGTCAAAATGGTTATTAAATACAAGTTATTCATTTTTCAGCAGCAGAAAAAAGCTGAAATATGTATTTAAAATAAAATTAAAGCCTAAACAGCTAAAAACTGATTTTTTTCAATATTTAATGCATCCAACCTTATTCCATTTTTTGTGAGATACCTGCAGGTATATTTTTGCACACCTCCAAAGTTCAGTCTTAGAAGTTGGTTGCATTTTCCTGATCTAGATATTCCATAATAGATTTGATTATGCCGAGGTCTGGACTCTGGGGTGGTTGGTCCACTGTTCTGAGAACACCAGCAGCTTCTTTGTTTAATTAGCCCATTTCCTTCCTTTTCTCTGTGAGGGCTTCGTGACAGCTACACATCCTTTCAGACCCATAGTGTTACGTTGTCTTCTCAGAAACTCCTGTGAATGTTTTCAGATCTGAAGCAAGAATGGAGCTTGATTTTCTCCTCTCTCTCAAAGATGAAAGTTTTAAGTGCTGTTTATCTGTTGGGACAGCTTTGGTGGTCTACCAGGTTTTGCACTGTTGTTAGGAGTCCCATTTGTTCTACTACTTGATTTTTTGTTCTACTACTTGATTTTTTGAACTCCATTTCGAAAATGTCTTGGTTTTTAGTTATTTTACTTTGACTTTCTCTTTCCTTATGCAAGTGGATCTCATATCTAATTTTCTCAGAAATGTGAAGCGAATAAATTGTACTTAAAGCCTGTTTTCACTTAAAATTAATTAAGTGAAGGGTGGTCTCTGACTTTTGCACAGCACTGTATGTAATATTGACAACGGTAAAACAGTAGTAAATCTGAAATAAATAGGTATTTTGCTTTTTAATGCCCTGCACATAGTTCTCTGCCCTGAGTGTATTTTACAAACATAATTTAGGCCAAAAGCTTTTTGTAAACTATCGTACAACAGTGTCTCAGACAATTACAAATATGATTTCATGTAATAACTTCCTGTGAGGCAGCTTACAAAGACACTAAACGTTTCACAAGTCTCCTATCATAGTTTCTATCATCACCCCTGTAAACAATTCTGACTCTACAAAGTTTCTCTAGAATTGCACAGTTCACATCAAACCACTCTGAATGACTGTTTACATTTTAACAACTGATTATGTGAATTCTCCTTTAAGGCCTGCTTCAGTACTGTAGAGGATTAAGTAGTATTTTTAGATCATGTCACATCAACACATATGTAGACTTTAGCAGCAGAACTTGTCCAGAACGTTTCTTTACTCTGCTAGTCTGCTTAGCTAGCCAATTAGCTTACTGAGGCTGGCCTAGCTGAAGGCAGGTATGCTCCAATCCAGTCACCGTGTCCCCATCTGCCCTCATCCTAGCTCGTGTAATGCTGGTGCAACACACTTCCAAGTCGCGAAGTGGAGTCGGTGAGGGTGTGTTAAAAATGCTATTGAAACGAAGAGCTGGTCTCATTTCACGTTACTCCTCTGTTTCTCACCTGCTAATATCTGAGCAGCAGTTTCAGCAGCTTCTAGGCAGTTTACTGCAACACTTTTATAGAGGTCACTGGTCATACAGGTCAATGACACAAACACAAAGTGCACTGCCTTTACTAAAACTGATATCGAAGGATTTGAGTTGAAATGCCAGAGAAACTCAAATCAGCCACAGTGCTTTCACAGTACCCACGGACATTCCTTTACTCCTGTCTGGCTCTACGTTCACCAAGTGCATGTCTGTCTGTCACTAGTTATTTTAGCAGTGTACCCTCACACTGTCCCTCCTTATAGCTCTCACCCACTGGCCTGCGGAGAGGAGCGATGGCCGCCCAACTCCAGCTAATCATTTCCTGACTGAGTGAGAGCTCTTCTCGGCCAGAGACATCAGAGAGCAGGTAACGCATACAGCACGCTTCACAGCCGACGACAGTAAGCACTCAGCCATCGCTAAGCCACAGGCAGGAGAGGAGAGGTGTATGTGTTGAGTGGATGTGTTATTCCAGGCCGCTGAGAGAGAGGAGCTCACTGAGCTGAAGCAGTAGAGGACCAAGCCAGATTTGCAGCAGATCTGCCCTCCGCATTGATCCACTACTGGAGGAGAATGGGACACTATGGGTGGGCATGGGTGTGGATGATTTGATGGTTCCTAACACTGAAGCAGAGGCAGAGGCACATATTCTGTGTAAGCTGAAGCTTAATCTTTGACAAATAAGAACATACTAAGAGCGCAGTTTAGTAAAAGTCTACTTATGATCATGTTTAATTTGGCAACGACTTTAATTTCTTCTTATTAAATTTATTTATTTAATTTAAGGCCGTTGTGTCTGTGGGCACTTAGTCTGATTAATGTATCACATCACCCAATATGTTTAATAGTCCAATTATGTTCATGTTTGGGAGATTGCCATGGATTTGCAATAAGTAAATCAATAAATGATTTTTTAACTGCTGGTTTTTGTCACAGCATTTATCATACAAATGTTTGGGCACCCCTGGTCAAATTACATGTTTTGTTTATTTCTATTTGTTAATTTATTTTCTATGTGAAAACAAGTTAACACATCCGCTACTAAAAACAAACTACGGCACAAAACAACAAAAACGGAGTTTCGCTGTTGTTGGACCAAAAAAACGAACCAAAATTTGTTTAAAAAAGTCTACTTTCATTAACAGACATTAAAAGTAAAGTATGTGTTTTCCTTCTCCTGTAAAGTTATTATTCCGGAGATATGAGATTTTGTTCTGACAGCAGCGATATATATGTATGTATAGAAAGTGTTAATTTATTTTCACTTAGAAAATAAACAAACCATGTCATTTGACCAGGGACACTCAAACCTTTGCATACGAATGTTTATCTTACCACTGCTATGCATATCAGCACTATATTTTTCTTCAGTTTTTTTCTTCAAATTAAGGTCACTTTTGTTCTGAAAACACATACTCTGCATACACTGACACAGACACAAACACTCACACAGATGCATTTCTTTAAAGGAAAAGGTGCACAAAGCGTTCATTGATCATTGTCAATGGAAGTTGTCTGAAGAAGATATTTGTGTTTTGAAGTGTTTTAAGTGTTTTTTCGCTTTTACGCTTTAAGATTTTTCCTAGAACCTTTACATTCTTAGGTTCTTTAAACTTCAAAAAGTTTTTCACAATTACTCTAAAAGTTTACCCATGTGTTTTTAGGGAGCCAAAAGCGAAAGAGTGTACCCTGCACATACATTTGACATTCGATTTGGTCGCTCCATCTATCACACATCACTGTCTTGTCAGTCTGTTTGTTACAGTCTTACCACAGGAGATGTTATGGTTCTGGCTGCTGTTATTGTTACAGTGAGTGAGATTGTTGTCATGCTCACTAAAACAGTAATAATAACAGAATTAAAGGAAACGTAGACAGATGAGCGCAACAGCAGAAATCACAGCACAGAGAAACAGCAGTGAGTACAGCTGTGTGGGACAGAGTGTGAGAGAGCAGGTTAAAGCTCAGAGCTCCACAGAGTGAGGCTGAGGCAGTAGAGGAGGTGGTGATAGATGTGTGTGAGCAATTGCAGGCGGACCTTGAGGTCATGCTGGCGGGCCTCCTGCATGTCCTGGATGGTGCAGCGGTGGGCCTCCCGAAGACGCTCCTCTCTGCGCTGGTGCTCCAGCTCCAGCTCCTGCAGCTGCTGGCCCAGGTGCTCCCGCTCCTGACTGAACTGAGCCTGCAGCTGCTGCAGAGAGTGCTGAGACTGAGACAGCTGCATCTCCAGACTCTGCTTCAACAACGAGATCTGCACACAGACAGAGAGAGAGAGAGAGAGAGAGCGAGAGAGAGAGAGAGAGAGAAAGGGGTGGGACAAGAACAAATGTTACATCATTATCAGTGGTACAACATGTCATCACCATTGCAGAGACCTGCAGTCCATCAGCTGCAGAAAAGGACAAAACAATTAAAGAATGGTATGAAACAAATGCTAGAAAAAGCGCCTGCAGAGATGCAGGTTCATTTTTCTTTTCTTTCCTCTGAATCATCTGTTCTCTCACCCCAGAGATAATCAGTGATACTGAACATCTTACTTATTTGTCATTTTGGGCAGAATCATAAGCACAATCTCTTCCTGCTGTTTGAAGACTCAGCTTGTTCCTTCTGTTTTGCAAACCTTTTCTCCAGACCCTGGGGTGGAGAGAGGGGGCATATGATCCTTTTTAATGTTTGGGAGAAGATGAATGGACCCTTTTCACAAAGGCTGTGTTTAAAATAGCCTACTACACACTGCTCACGTATTTATTGTCCCCCAAAATAGTAGGTAGTACGCAGTATGTGATCAACACGAATTTCCCCCAGTGTGCCAAAGATACCCAGATGACATACTGCTCAAGCAAAATAATCCAAAACGCAGGCAGAGCTGTCTCCATTATACACTACTTCCCAAAATGCAACATGGTAATTTAAGCAGGATGTAATCACTGATGTAACTGCCTGGATACTTTTATAGCCCTGGATTCAACTTGTCAATACACATTTTATTACTGCTGTAGCTGCTCACATCAAGCAGTAACTAGCTGCTTTACAAAGCCTAGGCTGCAGTGGAGGTGGTGCGGGTCCTCAGCGAGATTGTCCTATAAAGACTCCTACGTAGTAGCCTATTGGTCACACAAAAGGAACAGTCCTAATGAGGCTGCATGGTGACGTCGCCAGAGCAGCATGAAACTCATGAGGGAACTGGTGAGAGAAAATGGAGCCCGTTGCATTGAGTTTGTTGCTTTTTCATTTCTTCACAGAAATTGAGGAGATGTTCTTATGTAGTACGATAAACTACATGTATACAAATACTTCTAAATAAAATATGATATATGGACGAATGCTTCCATTAATAAGTCATTTTACACTTTATAAGGTGACAAAGATGAATTTAGTATGAGAACAACTTACATTTTAAAATAAGTCCTGCTCCAAAGGCTTTGTTTTCCACCATTTTTGTGGTGCTGTTTTTTCATTCACTTTGTTCGTGCACAGAGAACTGTGGGTAACTGAAGGCCTGGAAGGATACATCTGATGTCTCCTTGAAATAACCCAGAATGTAGGCTGCAGTTCTAGGCTGTATATGAGGGATGCTTCATTCTGGAACGGCCCTCTTGATGTAGCGGTCAAGAAATGCAGCCTACCTTGGCTGCAGCCTAGGCTTTGGAACGCAGCTTCTGTGTCTTTGTACAACATGCCAGTAATTTCTGTAACAATTATGTCTTAAAAAGAATGTAGGACTAGTATATGTAGTTTGAATTTGATAGATTGCTAACATTGCTAACAGCTGGAACAGCTGAGCTGTAAATGTATCACAGCCAACGATTTCTGTAAAATTATAAGAGGAAACCAAAATTTTATATGTTAGGTCTATTTGATTGACTTTGTTTAAGGTCTCTTGTAGCTCATGGTAGGCTAGCAGGCTACAGTTGCTAGTTAGCTAGCCTACCAGTTCAAGGACCACCAGTTTCATATGAGTAGTAAACTACCTGTCTAGGTATGTTAGCGATCTGCCACATAGTGTCTTTCTTTTTGTTTCATTACAATTTTTGAAGCAGTACTTTGGATAACATCCACAATTCACTGCTCACTCGAAAACATGACTCTTGACATATAATAGCACTGTGGTTTTGCTGTGATATTTAGTTTTCTCTTTTTTAACACAGTTGTTTGTGGTGAAGGAGAGCCGTGTGGTGTCTCTGACATCACGTGCCTGCTATTGTTAGCAGTTTGTACTAAGCTGATGTAGGAGCCTGTAGCATTAGCTTTTTTAAACACAAAAAGTACAAAAACTGCTGGTAAATGTGATACTGAAAGCTGCTTTATGTTTGCCAGATAACAGTTTGGGATAATAGGTACTAGCAATGGCCTCTAGCTAGCGTAGCTCCCTCCCACTAATTTGCTCCACATACCCGCATTTCACCTTTTAACAGTGTGCTGTAATTGCTTTTGGTCATTAACTTTGACCTGAAATATTTTTTTAAATGACATAATTTTTTAAATAACTATGGCTTAAACAAACAGGATCTTTAAATTCATATGTTCCATCACATCTTTACATCCCTGCGCACAGACTCGTGGGAAATGCAGTCCACATACAGTTAGCGTCTTTCATGTTCCTCTACTGTAGCAGACCAAGCCAGCTTCACTTTTCTAAAGGTCAAGAATGTCAAGGATGTTTAAAAAGTGCGGTAAGCTAAACAGACTAACTCTGATAATGTAAGATACTGTTAGCTAGTTATCTACCACAAGTTGTTTCTATCCCTTTCTGTAGACTAGTTTGTTAGCAATAGCTAGATAACTAGTTAAGTAGGTCTAGCAGATTAACTATAGTAAACCTTGAAAAACGAATCTACTCTACATATAGAGGTGTACTTCTGTGTCTGCGGGACAACTACATATGTCTAACTAGGGTTGCCAGGTTCTTGGACCAGAAAGTCCTGTTTTGAGCTCCATTGTCCAGTGCCTGTTTGGTACTGCCAACCGGATGTTAAAATGTCCAGTTGAGTTTCATTCTAAAGGCATTTGATTTGCTGATGTAGCTGAAGTTCCATGCTAGTCCTGTCATTGTGCTGTTCTTTCAGCCTCCACTTATCTGTGTTAGAGAAATCAGAGATCTGTCTGTGTAAATGGCAGGAAAGGAAGCCTGATACTAGAACTTTTTGGAACATCAAAGGCAGAGTGTGAGTATGATAAGCAGATCTGCTGTAAAGTTTTAAACCTTCTGTGAAAATGTTCAATTAGAAATGAAAAGAGTTGATATTTACGGCCTGCATATTCCTGAGTGACGTTGATGTGTCACATTTGTCTGAATTCAGGGTAAAGCTAGTACCAAGCTGTACTTGCATTAGGACAACAACAGGCCTACTAACATATATCAGAGGATTCATCACTGTTGCTGTGCCTCTGACTTGTGCACCTGCCTCAAAAACTAAGCATTTTTCTTATCGTCCAATCTGAACTGCTTCCACACATAATTTCTCAGACATCTCTGTTCTTTCAGCTTCAGTGTGACCTTGTGGACACCAGTGCAATGTGTTGCACTCTAAGGTGAGATGGTCTGAATGCCTGGCATGAATTTAAACCAGATTTAATTTATTTATTTTCCACAATTTCCAAACTATAACAATAACTATTATACAGTTGTATGCAAAGGTTTGGGTGCCCCTGGTCAAATTATATTTTGTTGATTTTCTAAATGAAACTAAGTTAACACATCCTCTACAGAGAACACACATAAATGTGGCATTTTCTGCACCTTTTAGTGCGCAATTACCTATTATATGCTGAATTTAATGAATTGTAAAAAATAAAAGTAACATATTAAATGGGCCATAAGTTTTGCACGTCACATTTTAAGTTTTATTTTTTCCAATATGTTACATTCGGCAAAAAGCATGTAATTGTGCATTAAAATGTGCAGAGGTGTGCTCTCTTCAGAGGACGTGTTAACTTTTTTCCTCAACAATCAACAAAACATCATTTGACCAGGGGTTCCCAGACTTTTGCATATAACTGAATTTAAAAGCCTTTGAGATTAAATGTATTGTAGATTATGCTACAATTTTTGTTGCTTAAAAAGATCCTCTGAATTTTAAATACTACTAATACTGCTAGTCATACTCTTACCCAAGTATTCAAACTATTTGGGCCAGTTCTATTAATAAGAAGATTAAACAGCAAAATCACCCATAAATGGATACTCAAGTCATGTACATGCTACTCCTCACCATGTTGTCTGTGTATAAACTAACATAGTGCCTCCAGTGAGGCCTCAGAAATGGGGTAAGAGTGAGGTATTGACAGCAGATTCTCACTTTACACCAGTCGATATTGCTGTCTCTGGGGAATCTGGGCAGAAGGCGGTGGATCTGCGATTACTGCGGTTCACTGACCAGCCTGCTAGCCTCATTAGCACACTAGTTCACTGCTAGAGGGTGCGATGGAACTGCAAAGTGTGAGTGTAATCAAAATGGCCAGCGTCATACCCACACCACGCCAAGACGCGCAAAAGCAAGAAAAGCTTGCCAATTTTTACGCGTGAAAACTGCCTAAATCCCAAGCAGACCTGGAGAGGCCTCGAAATGGCTGTCACAACTCAGCAACAAGGGGTCTAACAAATGATACTGATAGGAGTGCTTTCCACACAAAAGAACAAGACCTTTGGTTTATAAAGTGTTTAGAACAACCAAACACACAGAGAATCAGAAGAACAAGAGAGTGCAGGTGTATTGAAACAAAGCCAAAAGTCCACTCTCGAACGGTCAGCATGCAATGTGCACAACTACACTACCCCAGTACAGCACAAGTGCCTACATCTACTGACAGCAAAGAAGGGAAAAGGGAAGACAAAGCTAGTGCTCCTGTGGACTTGACTTACATTACTGATTGACTTATGTAATGCTTCCTGAAGAGCCAGCTGCTGTCAGGGGAACAAGAAATTGCAGCAAAAAGAGAGGAGGCACTTCATGACAAATTGAAAAAAAAAAAGAAACTCTGTTCAACTTCAAGTAATCAAACCATCAAAATGAGCGATGACATGATTTTGGAAAGGTCAGAGCTGATCTTTGGAGGCATTACAGTATATTTTAAGAGCACAGATGTTCAGGAGAAAGCTACAGCTGAATTGTTGTTTTCTGGTCTGTGTGCTAGTGTGGTTTCCCTCCTCTTACACCAGGATTCTTGTACAGTTTTTGGTGATTTTGCTACTCAAACATGCCTGAATTAACTCATCAGGTTTAGCTGGTGGGTTTGAGCAGGGAAATCACCCCACTGTTTGGACACTGCCTCTCAGTTCCCCACCACTTGTTTATACATACACACTCTACAGTAGGACTTTAAGAATCAATAGCTTTGGGGAAAAATCACATTTACACAACTCCCCCCTTCCCCAAATGCAGTCGACCAACCAGGATATGTTTGGTGTCCAAAGTTTGCTTATTTAGTTTTGTAATGAAGCTACAATGCTAACATAGATAACAAGTAATGGAAGCTTCATACAAGATGTGATGATACGCATTGCTGGTTTGTTGTGGGTGTGTTTGTGGGCAGAGACTGATGTGAGCAGGAAGCTTATTTAAAAATAGCCATGTTTACATGAAGCCTCATAATTTGTTAACAATCTGACTAATAGCTCAATCAGAATAGAATACGTCCATGTATACACCTCAATCAAAATAGACTGGGTGTCCAGCTTATGTGTCTCAGAACATGATCTCTTCCACTTCTTTAATAAGTACATGCAAAGCATGTTTTCCTGAGTCTGCCATCATTTTAAAGTAATTCAAACTCACTGCTGCTCAAACACACTGCTGCTTATCTCACTCTGACTATACACACGCAATGCTCGTTGTGATGGTAACATCTACAACTATGTGGTACTCTACGCATGCGTGTAATTTTGGATTGGGTTACTTGTAGTGTGCATGTAAATGGAAATTTTCCATTAGATTGTTGAGTAGTGTGTGCATATAAACACCTCAGTCTTAATCTATAATCGGAATGTATTTAATCAAATTGGCGTAAATCCTTGCATGTAAACACAGCCATAAACAGCTGGGGGCAGCTGTTCATTTTAATAAAATGAAGCAAAAAGGCTTGTGTGAGTTTTAAGCACACCAGTCTTTGTTCTACTATCTCTTTAGATCTCTAGACTATACAGCAGTTAACAGTCCTCCTTTTTTTTTTATATATCATTATGATTAACTAAACCCTGCTTCACATCATCTCCTAACGCATGGATCCATTAGAGTACGGTGCTATCAAAATTGAAACTTGCTTTGACTTTTCCAACAGAAAACAGAGTGTAATTTGGAGTCCGTTAACATATAATTTTCATTTACTAGGATGTCTATGTGATTGGCTGTGTTTACATGCAAAGATTTGTGCCAATCCGTTTGAACATATTCCGATTATAGATTAAGACTGAGGTGTTTCTATGCTCACTCTACTCAACAATCAGATGGAAAATCTTCGTTTACATGCACACTCCAAGTAATCCGATCTAAAATTACAGGCGTGCGTAGAATACCTCTTAGTGTAGACGTTACCATGACAACAAGCATCATGTGAGAGAGGTGAGAGAAAGATGTCATGTTCTGAGACACAAGCTGGACGTCAATCCCACTGCCGACTTTTAAAGTTCAAAGCATAATTTTGTTCAGTTTGTGCTCCTGCCATGTTGAATGTTATAAACGTCCGCTATGATGCAAACGCACATGCACAGAACGTCCTTAAACTTTACGATTGGGAATGTAATCAGATACAGGTGTTTACATGGCTATTAGTCTTCTATTTAATGGATTATTTACAGGATTACCTAACTTGTTCAAATGGATAGAAATTGTATTCCGAATGGCCTCAATCGTACTAGTCCATTCTGATTGAGGTGTATACATGGACGTATTGTATTCCAATTGCGCTATTAGTCAGATTATTAATGGATTATCATACTGCATGTAAACGTAGCTATTTGTATCCAGTACAAGTGACCCAAGTACAAAACTAAGGAAGCAATCTTTAGACAATAAATATATTTGATTGACTACATTTGGTTGTAGTAATGGGAATACTGCTGAAGTGTTTAGTAAATTAAAATTTTGGAGGAATCATTACTTTAAACTCTAGTGTTTTTTATTGCCCCCAGCCAAACACACGTCATTAATTCAGCTGAATAAAGTGCAACTGAAATTTCACCTCATTCACCTCATTAATTCACCTCATTAACTCAGTAGAATGAAGGGTCTCAGAGTGGGGGAGGTGCTAAGCTGTACGGTGCTCCTGAACTCATCAAAATCCCAATATTGCAGAAGAAGAATAGCTGTTGATAAGGGTAAGCTGGATATTTAAAAGCATACAGCAACAGCCTGCTAATCATTTCTGATCATCATCTCAATTTCATGAGACCATGTAGTTCAGGTTAGTTACATCCTCTCTTTCACACATGTAATGCTTTCAGAGAAGACGCCGAAGAACAGCTTGAATATTAATGTCATTAAAAATGTTAATTATCAAGTGCAGACCTCTCAATCTCTCAACATTTCCAGTCACGCAGATTTGATTGCTTCTCTCCAATAACAAAATCTCACAATTAAGGGTTTATAAGTGGGAACTTGCAGTGATCTCAAAAAGTGGACAGAAACAGTTATCTAACATAATTACTGCCCTCTTTTGACTTACTCTGTAGTCCTTTACTAAAACTTTCTGCAAAACAGCTGGGGACTACAAAATGTAAATGTAAACTGGCGTTCCATAAGCACGTAATGATTTTTTGAATCGATAAGTTCTGAGAGCAGGAGTCTAGGAATGTGTGTTTTATGTTGTTTCATACAGCACTGCTCGATTTAATTTCACCTTCTCAGATGCTGCCTTGATGTTGATCGAACAGGGCTTCTACAACGTGGCCTGAAATAGAGTTCTCCCATTAGATGGTGTGAATAATTACTGATTGCTTGGCATGCGTGCAGGGGTGAATGTGTGACCCTTGGATCCCTCACCTGCTCCAGCAGGTCCTCCACCTTCCTCTGCCAGCTCTCGCGGGCAGTGCCCAGCTCCTGCTCCTTACTCTGGGCCAGCTGAGTGAGTGCTGCCCTCTTGTCCTCTTCATGCTCCTCTCGCAGCTCTTCACGCAGCTTCTTACACTCCTGCCTGCAGAGAGACAAAATAATACAAATGTCAGTGCACCTCTCTGCGGGCACACATTTCAACAGGTGGGTACATGTTCACATCAGGCCATCTTTTATTTGTTTATTTTTTTTTTACAGGAGCCTTATTAATGAAGCTTCTGAGAGTAGGAACACTGATGTAGGATCAGATTTTTCTCTCTTATTTAATCTGATTTCACGGACAAGAACAGATTCCAGATCAGACTCTGAGAGGCTCTGTGAATATGGCTCAGGTGTTTATACTGAAACAACAGAACACAAGGGAGGGAGGATGTTATCATCCTAGCAGTGATGTTAGATGTGATAAGACAAGACCTCAAGTGTTCTATAGCTTTTATACAACAATTTCTACAAAATAAAGAAAAAAGTAAACCGAACATTTCAAATGTGCTTTATACCAGTTAGCCATAAAACCATTTTGATGCCAGATTATCCTGAGCGTTGTTTGGTTCCAGTCAGTCTGTACAACATTTCACAGCGTATCTTGTTTGTTGATGGAGCATCTAAACTAACTGTGTAATTACAGTTGTCCCATTACAACAAAAACTTATTTTGGGCAACGACAGGCTCAGAATGTGATACAGGTCTTCTGTTGCATTCTTCTTCATAATGTAACCAAAGGCAATGCTATTGCCACGACCATCAGAGTTAGACTCAACTAAGCTTAAAGTTAGCTGGATAGGAAAGAAATACTGCAGTGTGACACAGAACCCTACTGAGAAGGTTATGTGCAATTTAAACGGTAAATTATTAGAACCCCAAAGAGCATTCAGTCATCAGCAATACACAAATTAGCCAGTTATGTTAGACATGGGGCCTCATTGACCAACCGCTCTTAAGAAGAAATTTCTTCTTAAAACCTACATACGCAGTTTTCACAAAGATTCTGACATGAAAGGTAGAGAGAAAGAGGGAGATGAGGGGTGAACTATATCTCAGCCAGTGCATATCTGTGATAAAACCCTCGCACTGCTCCTGTGCCGTGGAGGCTGCAGCCAATCATTAATGGCCTGTAATGGAGGCTGACAGTTGCATGGCTCCTGCTGCTGAGCTCACCAGGCTCACTATAATGCTCCCACAGGGCTTTGGCGTAGGTGCGGTAAAGGGACTGAGGAGGTTAACTGCCAAATTATGTGACATAATTGCTGGACATTTTCAACGCACAGTGGGGATTCTGGTTATTTATTGTTAACAGCTTCAGCAGAGAGAAACAGAGAGAGAGAGAATGCAACCCCCTGGTAGCCTGAAAATGCCTCAAAGCCAGCCGCTGTTGAACCCCCACATCATGACGCACTGTGGCAGTGTTTTAGAGGTGTGAAATCCTTCTTAACTGCTATTTGAGTAAGAATGGCAGGTTGAATGAAAGTCTGGACATCTCTCCAGCCCCCTCAAAGTACTGCAGTGGGGATGGTGTGTAGGTGCATAAAAGAGTGTGTGGAAGAAAGACGTGTTTGACCGAGAGATTTTTCTCAAGCATCTCCCTGTAATACACAGCTCCAAATATCACCTTCAGAATGAGGAATGTGGCCAGAAAGTCAAGAGGCAGTAAGCCCATCACCAACAGGACTTGCAACCGTTCTCAGTGAATGAAAAGAGCTGATGTTCTGCCATAAAAATTAGTTTGTCAACACTTTTTGGCTATATAACCCTTTTCAGGCCCCTGAATCTATATGTAGTGCAGCATAACAACTTTTTTTCTTTAACAAGATGTTGAGCATTTGACAACAACATTTGAGAACTTGAAACAAGGAATCTGGCATATTCTATCTAAGACATATACAAGCAGATAAAAAGTACAATAATACAATATTTTTCAAAACCACAGTCCCAAAAGCAGTGACGCCAAGGAAAAATGCCAAAAAGTGAACAGGTTTGCTTTTCTGGCTTTGTTTCATGGCTAACCAAAACCTTTATGCACTCTCAGAAATAAAGGTCTGGAACTGTCACTGGGGCAGTACCCCTCTTGTCACTGGAGTGGTACCTTCAAGGGTACATCTCAGTACCTTTATCAGGGAACATAACTGTACCATAATCCGTTGAAATTATATTTTCTTGTTGTATTAAGTTGTATTGACTCCACTCACCTCGTCTCATCTCCAGGCTTTTTATTTTATTGTTCTGTTTTAAAACTTGAGGTTATGAAAAGGTACAAATCTGTACTTTTCACCCAGAAAAACTTATTTAAGGTACACAATTGGACCTTAAAATAACTGTTGTGCCTTTGAGGGAACATTTACTTAGTTTGTACCTTGATGAATGAAAAATCTACCTGCACAGAACCTTTATTTCTAACAGTGTGCCAAAGTTGACCTTCTTATGTTTCTAAAGACTCAAACATATTTACACAGCAAAAACAACTCAGTTTCAACAAATAATAGTACACTTCACTTTTAAGTATTGCTTCACATGAGTGCAAATTATTTCTATGCTGACTTAAACACAACCTAGTTGCATGTGGTGAGTTGCCTGCAACATGATATCCCAGGTGGTTGCTAGGGTGTTGCTAGGAGGTTGCTATGGTATCACATGTGGTTGCTAAGCTGTTGCAAGGCGGTTGCTATTGTATGCCAGGTGGTTGCTATAGTGTTACTAGGCGTTTGATATAGTACACCAGGGGGTTCTTGGGCGGCTGCTATGGTATCCCAGGTGGTTGCTAGGGTGTTGCTAGGTCGTTGCTAAAGTATTCAAGGAGGTTGATAAGGTGTTGCTAGGTGGTTGCTATGGTATCACAGGTCACTGCTAAGGTGTTGTAAAGTGGTTGCTATGGTATCCCATATGGTTGTTTCGGTGTTGCTAGGTGTTTGGTATGGTACCCCAGCTGGTTGCTAGGTGGTTGCTATAGTGTCTCAGGTAGTTGCTGAGGTGCTGCTAGGAGGTTGCCGTGGTATCTGAGTTGCTTAGATCGCTGCTAAGGTGTTGCAAAGTGATTGCTATGGTACCCCAGGTGGTTGCTATGGTATTGCTAAGAGGTTGCTATGGTATCACAGATGGCTGCTAAGGTGTTCTAAAGTGGTTGCTATGGTATCTCATATGGTTGTTTTGGTGTTGCAAGGCATTTGGTATGGTCTCCCAGGTGGTTACTAGGCGGTTGCTAGGTGGTTGCTATAGTATCTCAAGTCGTTGCTGAGGTGCTGCTCTGTGGTTTCCATGGTATCTGAGGTGCTAAGATGTTGCTAGGTGGTTGTTATGGTAGGCAGTTTCCAGGGTGTACAGGGTGTTTATTAAGTCGTTTGTAGGGAGTTGTCAAATGGTAGCAGCATGTTGTTGAAAATGAATGGGAGTCTATGAGGAAGGAGGGATGAAAAACGACACATAAAGGAGTTTGGATTATTATGGCTGTGGATTAGAGTTTGCAGACCTACCCTGAGTAAGTACATGCAGATTCCTGGCAGTCATGTAAAGCAAATAATAGAGCTTGGGTGAAGGTGAAAATGAATGTGACAGTATGGGAGAAAAGAGGGATGAAAAAAAAGACAAACAGATGAGTGCGTCTCTGAAAAACATTCAAATGGTATACGCGAAACTGATCATTTCAGTTAAGCAGAAGCACAGTAGATGGACATTCATTCCTAAGAGAAAAAAAATTGGAATTTAATAAAGATTGTACAAAAATCATACGTCATATCAAAAGGCTGAATACAAGCACACAATTCCCGATCAGACTGAACATTCCGGAGTTGGAACAGTGTCTATGTCTTGAAAACTGCAAAAAAAAAAATCACTAATAAGAGAACTAATCTGAGTTACTATTGTGAAAACAGAGAATGAGAAGCTGAAGATGATGGCTGTTGAAACCGAGGCCATCCAGGAGCTCATGAACACTTATCTGGATGAGACTGAGGACACCATGGAGAAACATCTGGGTACGTACAGGAACTGAGCTGATGGTGTGATGATAATACAGCAGAAGAACTGCCGACATTCTATTAATATAAAAGCAGGAATTCAACTTAATAAGAAAACTAATAAGCAGAGGTCATTAAAGAGCTAATGCACATTGACCTTCAGGAGACAGAAACTGAAAATGTGGGTTAGAGACGAATACCATAAAACGCTAACAATCACAGAGATATCACTTTAAAATTATTAATTCATAATGATATTCTGCAAGATATCTGTTCGTTTATCTAAAATAAGGCCGTTCACATCGTTGTTGATTTCTGTAATTGTTTATATTTATTTATGTTAAAGCAGGAGACGAGATGTTTGAGGCGACACTCAGTGAATCTGAGGTTGAAGCCGTTAAAGAGCTAATGCTCCTTTATATGCTCATTTATAAAGGTAAACTGAATAATAAATGCTTAATAAAACTATTCAGATGATGTTCAAGAAACCTGTAGTATTACAGTACTCCAGTACCAAAAAAGGCATCAGCTCATTCACAGATTCCTTCACTTCACCATTACTACTTTTGGTTAAGTTTAATCAAGATTCTATAGAAAATTCTGTTCCTGTTTCTTTCAATCAGGATGTGAAGTGATAAATGTGGCAGATACTGAGGCTGAAGCCTCTACACACAGCATGAAGACTCATCTGGATGAAACAGACACATCTAATGACCAACCTCTGGGTGAGTAGTGCAAATGAACACTAGATATCATGAAGTTCTAACTTACATCAGGATTTAATGAATGATTCTGTGTATTGCATGAAAAAATGTGGAAAAGAAGTCTGATGCTGAAGCAGATCTGCTCTCTGACGGCCAGAGAACAGTTGACCAGAGTCTCGGTGAGTAAAAGAGAAACAGATCATGAGGAGAGTTGCTGTACAACTGCTAATACTTTCATTATTTGTAGCAGGACATGAGATGCAGAAGGTCCTGGATGCTGAAGCAGAGGCTAATGACCTAAACAGACTAATGGCCATTTTCCCGGACGAGACTGAAACATGCTGTGACCAGCCCTTCAGTAAGTAATGGAAATGGTCATAATACGTTAAGAAGCAACAACCCACACAGTCTGCAGTTCACTTAATTTCTTCACT